TGTGCGATAAATAAATAATCGAAATTTCATTTATAACAATGTAATGACAACTGTACGGTATGTAGATTCACGTTTGATTTCAACAAAGAAGGAACATATAAAACGGTGATTGGAGTGTGGTTATGTTGTCCATTCCAGAACGACGCTGACTCGATTCGCAAAAGATGATTTATAGGTGAATCAGTACCTGCGAGGAACTCGACGCTGAGACCTTGCGGATCATAGTTGATATTGAGTGTGACCGGCTTATTATATTTTGGCGTTGACTGTCCATTGTTTGACAAAGTCGATACTGTCACCGCGCGAAACACCTTCGCCATTTTTAGACACCGCGTGCGTATTGTACGCTGCAGTTGCACGATCGGTTTACTTGCGTTCAACTTCTATCTCGACAGTCGTTTCTCGAGAGGTTGTTTGACGAAAAAAAAAGAATATGAATTGTCGTCCCTCTGGATACAGTTTACACGACGAATACGAAAGAAAACTCAACCGAAATCGCAATTTTTCACGTTCGCACACTGTACCGTCGACTAACCACCCCCGGCGCGTATTACACACGCGCACTAGGGTCACTAGCACACCGAATATATACCTAATTCAACTCCCTAGATCCGCAATACACTGAAAGAACTGCTCGAAGCGTTCATTTCACGTTTCACCGGATACAACGTTTCAAGTCGCGTTTTCACTGTTTCGCTTCGTACGACGAATTGTCATTCCCCTTTGTTATTGTTAGGAGAAGGCACGCGGAGTGCTCAGGTATGTCCTCATCGAAGAAAGAACAGTTTTAGGATAGAAGCGAAAACTATGGCCTTCGACTGCACAACATTTTCGAGCAGAACATTTCGTCTACTAATTTTGAAAAATAAACCAGTAAAGAAGTGGGCCAATAAGATGCCTGTCACGTGACTGGCGTTCTGTCGTTGCTATTGTTTATTCCCGATGTCTTCGACTCTACGATGTCGACGCATGTATTTATGTTGTCGAGCGAATGGCCGATCTTCCACTTTGGAATGAACTTATTCGAAGGGTGTCCGAATCGGTGCCCGCGGACACTATAATGACACTCCCTTCGCGAAAAGTTACCCTCTCCATACCTCCTAGTTTTGCCTATTGTTTGAACTCTATACAGAGAACCGCTCCCATACGCACAGTCTCGGACAGCTCCTTGAGTAGAGACAGTGGGGGGACGCTGTTTTTCGGTTACCAGCTCGAGGGAAGTAAGTTAGACACCTATGTGTGATTTATTTGAAATTATTTGAAAGAGATTCGGAAAGTCTAGTGACAAAATAATAGTTGTAGTACCAACTTGCAATCCAACCTCCACGTTACGCGAAAAATTTCCAATAGTAGTAGGACTTTGTTTCCTTCCATAGTAAGCGAAGGTGTAACGTCTATTTAAAAAGATTTAATATTCTTGTAAGCACGTTAATGGTAATTAATAACGATTCGAGTAAAAAATGTGTAATCAAGGCTGAAAGGCTGACCAATGAACGAGAAGTTTCCAAGCATGTACGCGAGATCTGCAAAGCCATTGGTCGTGACAATACATAGCTGGAAAGTTTTCTGTTTTCTAGAACGAGCTTTGCGCACACGACAGTGTTCCGGCGATACTCTGATCGATAAGTAAGAGTTGGCTGATAACTCGAAACTCGAAGACTGGCGGCGTGGCTGGTTGCTCTCCCCCATTTTTGACAGTGCATCGAAAGTATTGCATTTTGTCGGAAAAATGACGGCTCACGATCAAATGCGAGCTATGCTTGATCAATTAATGGGCACAGGACGGAATGGTACGTATTATTCGTTTAGAAGAAGAGCAGAATCGTTCCTCGTAATGCTGTTATTTACAATCGTCTGAAATCTCCCACAAAAATACAAGATGGTGGCCTACACTTTCACCGATACAAGCACTCTATATTCAATTAGGTGGTATTGTTATTAATGCGTATTGTAAATTTTCAGGTGAAAATAACAAATTTCAAGTGAAGTACTCCGATCCAAAGGTCTGCAAGAGTTTTTTGTTGGCGTGCTGTCCACACGAAATCTTATCGTCGACGGTGAGCTCAATTTGATATTAGCACATATTGGAATACGAGTGACACACCGTTGGCACTAATGTGCTATTACAGAGCATTTTGTATGAATTTCTAATATTCCCTCACATTACTGTAATAGCAGTCAGACATTTCTTTCCACTGTTATTATCGTACTTTCTCGCTTAGTTCTAAGTGGTTACACAATTCAAATGCTTTAATTCGATTAGCAAACTTGTCTTTTCGGTACATTATCCACTGTGAAAGTATTGTATTGTATTGCATTGTATCGTTAATGTGTGTTTTTTATTAAAATTTCTTAATCCAGAAGAGTGTAGTATACGTACACGTACAAGTATGTCATTTTATTTTATTTAGTTTTAGTAATTATCGATTATCGTCTTTACTTTGGATCCTGTAACCACGATCGTTTACGCGTATAGTCGAAGACAGAAATGAGTCTGATTGTTTGTACTTTGAGCTTTTCCAAAAGTAAAAATTTCTTAAAAAATACTTATGCTAAAGATGTAAGTAATTATAATAATGTGACAAAGGATATATTGTGCATAGTGCTTTTTTCATCAGTGCCAATTGGTCTGATTAGTTTTAGAGATGACACAAGAAATTAGCTAATAAGAATCAGTTTTGCGATGTGCATACAATAGGATGGTGTTTGCGTAATGTACTTCAAGAATTGATTCCGATCAATTCCCACTAGATAGGCGTTGAAGTGCAACACGGGGCAGCATACTGTAATAACAGGGAATCACTCACTCCTTAGATTCTCATGGTGGAGGAAGAAAGTGGAATTGTTTCTTTGGTTTGTTCGCAAACTGATTTCACAAAGTTTGTAATATTTGATTATAGACTAAACGTTGGAAGAGATATTACAATCGACCGTACGCATTAAATTTGGCAAAATAGTATTGGATAGAAATTTGTTAATTTTATTGTGGTAAAATTAGCGACTTATTCCACTTTTTCCCTATAAACATTAGGGAATATGCTGTAATTTAATCTACTCTCCAAGTAATGGCCCTGTACAATTACGAAAGAATAATACTCGCAGGAAATCATAAACATTACAACCGTAAGGTTTTAGTAGAAGCACTCTTTCAAAATGATAGTAAACATATCACATTAATACTGCTTCGCGCATTTCTTTGTCATCTTGTGCGAATTGGTCCAAAGGGTGTTTGTTAAGTCTCAGTTTAATGTTTCGTATACTCCTAAATACCGAAAGCTATAAAATATATTTACTTGATCGAAGAACGCTATCGAAGAGAGTCGATACACGAGCACGATAAATTTCAACGTAAGAATGAAATTATGCGACAAAAGGCCGATCCGAATGTTCTATCGAGCATACGATAAAGTATGTTGACAGACAGCAAGCACCCTTTCACATTCTTCATGT